TTTTTTCGAGATATTTTCGCCTAAAATTCATAGGACTAAGTGAATTTCAACTAATTTTAAACCCTATTTAAAAAACCATACGATATCGTTAGTTATAATTTATTTTGAATCAAACATGTAGGAGGGCGAAAAAAAGCGACTATGGAGTTCAGAAAATTGTTGTTCCTCTTATCAGGACTGTTTTACAAAAATCTATTATATTACAGTAGGTAGACATCAATCAGTTCCGCTACTTTCTGAAGATAATTCAAGAGGTAGTGCGATGAATAGCTCAACTTAGCGTAAAAGTTTACGTTGAAAGCACTTGATTTTCTTTGATTATGTTTAATAACCGAAATCATAGTACTAGTTTAGCTGCCTCATTTGGAAATCTCTGGACATCTTATGGGTCTTTAGCGTATATATCTTCTCTTTCCTCTTTGTTCGTTTTTCAATGACACTTCTCAAACGTGTTTGCTTTTTTTTCATAGAAAATTTCATTGGTAGCAGTTCTATGGCGCCGGCATTATCTTCCCTTCCCGTAGTTAGCCTGTACCTTACGAACGTAACAGTCGAGTGAGAGACCTCTTGAGGAATACGAAAAATGGGGTTATATAAATATGATTAATTCGAATTTGACAGTCGATTTCATACCAGAAAGCTTCAACGTGCGGATGAGCAAGCTGTTGTTCGTCAAAATTGTACTTGATATTGTCCTGTGGACGAGACTGTAAATAGCTCCTTCTCGTAAAGTGGCTATAATTGAGTTAGCAGGCTTTGCGAAGCAGTGTGGATAAAAACGGTACTATCAAGAAACCGCTTTCCGTAAAAGTTTTTATGATAGGTAAAAACCCTAAAAGAAATCAGTCGCTTGAACCAAAAAGTTGTCCTTTCATACGTCAGTAAATAACATGCTCCAGCAAAGATTGCACTTACGACGCAAAGAAGTGGTCTGAGTTATGTTTTTTACAGACTTTTGCAACGAGCGTGCAACGTTCAAATGGAAGTAGCTATTTTTTGCAACTCGTGCTAAACGAATTT